TAAATTTTTGTTTTTTTTATATATATATATATATATATATATATATATATATATATATATATATATATATATATTGCATTTGCTTTTACTTTTAAATCTCTTTTTTTATATGAATTTTGAATTAACTAACATGCATATGCGTGCGTGCGTGCATGCATGCATATGATGGTCTGTTCATGTTGGCTACCCCTTCTACGTTGCCCCGTAATCCCGTAAGAGAGTCCGCAATAACACTTAATACTCAGCACAGATCGGATATCCGAGTTTTTTTTATATATTCGATATCGATCTCGTCTTTCAGTTCTCGATTAAATTATCCAATTTCATTTTCGTGAAGATTGGTTACTTGATCGCGATAAAACACTGAAAAAACACAGAAAAGGTGATGATGAGAAAAAAACGTGATCAAATGAAAAAAATTTCATGAGCCTTTTCAAAAAGGTAACACTTTTTTTTTTGGTTACCAAAGGCACCATTACTAATCCTTTTTCTCGACGAAACGTTATCAAAACGTAACGTTCGGTCATGCTTCATTTGCGTTGCCAAAAAGGGTAACGCTTTTGCAAAGGGGTCGGCAAGCTGAGCTTCGTGTGTAAGAAATAAATCATTATGTGACTCATGTAATCTTTGAAAACCCTAAAATTATATATCTTGCACCATCTCCCTCACCGCCCCTCGCCCTCATCTCGGCTCTCACCTCCTCTCTCAGTTCCCCGGGTTGGGAACTACTCGACGAGTATGCGAAATTTTAGATATCTGGCCCACGACGTTGGGCGGATACTCGACATTTCGAGTGACCGTACCCACCCCTAATAACATTTCAAGTCGGATACAGAAAATAATTTTATTAAATATTTTAAAAAAATACGATAAAAAAATGGTTTAAATTTATCATGAAACCAATCTAGAATTCTATTACGAATCACGACCAATCTTTTTGGTCACTCGAGAGAAACCCTTTGAATCTCGATCGGTGGTCGGGTCAACGGATTTAGTTTTAATCGTTATAGATTCAAACATACGAAGTGATATTTTATATATTTAAATTAACCATCTAATTACAAGATCATAATCATGGGTTCACGACACATGAACTTAATTATGCGTGTGTGTATACATATTTCTATATATATATATTCCTATAATAACTAAAGTGATATCTTTAGATTCTATGTCCGGGTACATGTTTGTATGTACCTGTGCTGTACGCACCATTAATCATTCCCGATCACCATGTTCATCAATTAGTACGTAATTAAAATTATTTTTTTATTATTTAAATTAATTTATATAAATTTAAGAAAAATAATGTATAGATAAAGCCGAATCAATATCTTTTAACTTAATATACCGTATTATTATTATTATTATTATCGATGACAAAATTTTCTAGATCCATTAATTGCTGAAAATACGTATGCATACGTATACACACGTGTGTGCGTGTATATATATACGTACATATAAGAACGAATACATTCTCGGCCACGTCCACTTGAGCAGAAAAGCATCCAGTCTTCATGTGGCCATGGACACGTCGTTGTCTCTTAGACAATACCTCACCGTTTTACCGCAAAGCCATCAACTTGTATTTTGCCCGACCCAACACGATTCAACTGCAATGACATATATATATATATATATATGTATATATATTATTAAATAGTGTTCGATTTCAGAAAAAAATAATCAATGAGGAAATTTAATTTAAATTTAATAGAATTGCCAACTGTTAAATTCACATAAAACATAACTACAACTGCATACATACACTGTCCCAATACACACACACATTGAGAGAAAAATACTATAAAAATCAAATATCCCGATAATGGCATCCAGCTTTTGACGCATATTTTTGGAACATTCTCACCATTTCCTCTTCCATAACGAAAGCATTTATATATAAAAAAGAAAAAAGAAAAATATGTCTCCCACGATGTGCCACGTCATGGTTCATTTCTATGAGACGTTTTGATGGTTTGTTTGAGAATGCCACGGTTCAGAATTTAATTGTTAAGGACACAAGATTTTCGTACGGGCCACTTTTTTTTTTTGGGGTCCTTTCCTTCCTATGGGAAGTAAAAGGCTTTTAGAATATTAGTTTTTTAAAACTTTGATGTATATGTCATTATTTTGTAAAATTAATAAAGCTCGCTGTACGCGCCAATATATTTAAAACTAAAAAGAAATAAAAGATTTTAATAAATATACTAAAAATTTTATAAATGATAGAAAATATAAAATATGTATATTGCCTTTCAAAAAAAAAAATCTAACACAACAATTTATAGACATAATAAAATAATAAATTACACCATTGTGGATGAAGGGAAAATACTACTAGCCATACATACATACATACATACACATACAAATATATATATATATATATATATATATATATATGCATAGTCAATAATTTTTTTTTTTGTTGGATTAGTAAATCACATTAAGAGGAGTGTATGCATGCACTTGGCAATACATATGATGTGTCTTGAAATTTGTTGGCTAAAGAGTGTAGAGAAGTGTCGTTTCATTTCATGGAGGGACCCACAGTACATGGTTCCATATCGCCACGCCTCGCATCTCCCCTGCTAATACATATACGCCCTCCACTCTCCTCTTCCTCTTCTCATCCAAACACGTTTTGCATCTTCTCCTCCACCATTCCTTTGAAAACCGCAATAACCCACAGATTCATCATCGTCCCCATCTCCAGGTACGGATCATATTGAGAAAATCCTCCGAAAAGAGAGGGGCTTGAATCCGTTGTCGATTGATGTGAGATGATCACATGGGTTTTTCGTTGATTAATGTACTTCTTTTTCTTACGGGGTTTTGGGTGTGTTTTTGCAGGCGAAAGTGAAGGGATAATCACTGAAAAGGGTGTGGTTTTTGAGATGGCTTGTGGCTTAAGCAAGAAGAAGCAGGGCATAGTGACGATTCTCGGCGGCGGCGGATCCGACAGCGACATTCGGTCGAACATCTCAGCTGCGTCGCTCCGCCGAACTATCTCCGCCGACATGTCGTCCAAGAAATGGCTTTCCCGGAATGGGTTTTGTCCGATGAAGACGATTTCTTCGTCGGAGGAGCTTCAAGCCTCTGTTGCTGACTCACAGAGCTCATCCGACGAGGAGTCCGATGGAGGAGAAAAAGAATCCAGGTCTGGGTTTGACATATGGGCTCAGATTCAGGAAGAGAAGAAGAACAAGAAGATCGACGAGGAAAGGCCGGGCCAATCCGGTGTATGGAGTTCGATTCTGTCTCAGAAATCCGAGCCTATCAAGATGTTTCCTCCACCGTACGTCCATCCTATCGTGAAGCGTACGTCGAGCTCTCTGAGCGAGAAAAGCCTCGAGATTTGCACTGAGAGTCTGGGATCGGAGACGGGTTCCGACGGATTCTCGTGGTTTCCTTCGCCGGAGACAGGAGATGCTGCAGACGAGAAGGAAAACAAACATGAAGAGCCTCCGAAAATGGTGCTCGGAGTGAAGGAAGAAGAACCGCAGGGCGATGAACAAGGGACATGGGTCGCGAATTGCAACACCAACACGATGACCAGTTGCAAGAAAACGTGCCCTGTGGGATCGTTTCCTCCACCGATCTCATCGCTTTCGAGCCAATCCGGTAAGTCCCTGCGCATGAAAACTCGCCGGAGGAACGGCAGATTGGTTCTCGAGGCTGTTTCAATGCCTTCCCAGAACAACTTCTGCGCCAGGCGGCAAGACGGTCGTCTTGTCCTCACTTTCACAGATCCGAATGACCAAACCCACCGCATGAACGAGACAGAAGAAGAAGAGGGAGAAGAGAGAAACTCAGAGATCCACTGGTTCAACGAAGAAGAAGAAGAGGAAGAGCCACCAAATGGGCTTGTCAGTGTTCATAGGTTGGCCCATAAGCCCATAGGGATACCCAACCGAAATCTGAGATGGCCCAATAAAGATGAGCCCGCCGGTAAATCTGACGTGTCAACTCCGGCGCTGGCTCAATCACTGCCGCCGAGGCCGAGGGTTGCTCAGCTAGTTCGGGCGGCGCAACCGCCGTCTACGGTGGACGACACGATTGGCGCCAAATGCTTCAACACCTATGACTACTATTGGAGGCCCACCAGGCCCATTATAGAAAACAAACCATCAAGCCCAAACACAACGGCCCAATTTCAAGCTCAAGATTTAGTTAAGAAGCCGGCAGTCTCCGCCATCATCTCCGGCGGCGGCGGCGGAGGGAATGATGGTTGGTTAACTGGTTGCAAGGACCAAAGGAGGTCTCTTCTATTCTTCGAGACTTTTTGCATCGCCACTTAAGAACTGAATAAATAATTCCCACCCAAAAGACATAAGCATATGATATATATGCGTATATATACCCACATATATATTATATCGACCCCAATAATTACTGTTGATGATGTTTTTTCCCCTTTGGTTAACTGGTTGCAAGGACCAAAGGAGGTCTCTTCTATTCTTCGAGACTTTTTGCATCGCCACTTAAGAACTGAATAAATAATTCCCACCCAAAAGACATAAGCATATGATATATATGCGTATATATACCCACATATATATTATATCGACCCCAATAATTACTGTTGATGATGTTTTTTCCCCTTTTTTTTCCCTCCTTGGTTTTTACCACTTGCCTCTCTTTGAGCTTGTGGGGTGAAAAAAAGAATTGTAGAAAATAAAAGGAGGGAAATAGAGAGGGTAACTCTGTGTTTTTATGAGGTTTGAGACCTCATTGAAGTATCTAATATCATTTGAGTGTTGTGTTTGTACAATTTTATTTTATTTGTTTAAATACGAGGAAAATCCATTCTTGTAGTTGTTTTTTAATGGACAATATAATTTGAACTATTAGTTAAGTCTGAAACACCATAATAATTTTAAAAAGAAATAAAATTTTTGCAATAAAATGAAAAACAAAAACATTGAAAAATGTCCAAAAAAAAGAGGAAGAATGTTGGGCTTCCGAGGCCCAATATAGGCCTAAGATATAAAGTCGCACGTGGGAGAACCCATCCTTGGGATATACAAAATCCTTACCATAACCCAAAGTGGTCGGCAAATCAATCAGTTTCATGTTCATATCTTATGAAATGTCCACACCGACAGAGCATATATATATACATATACACTTTTTGCTAAGACGTTGTTTTCAAGGCCCAAAGAAAATTGGCTTTAACAACTTGTGATTAAAGATTTAATTATGTAAAAAAGAGTAATCAATCACAACCATTATTTGTCAAAAAGGTTGCAATTATTCAAACCCCCAAAGCTTAACCTATGAGTATGAGATGCTTTTCTCCAAAACCCAAAAAATCCTAATTTGTTTTTTCATTCTCCACAACCATAACCATAACAAATTTTCCACATTAAATTAACTCTGCTCAAAAGTTATTCAACCAAAATGAACCAATCTTATATATATATATATAATGTATTTGGTCCAATAACAACAATATGACATTGGCATTGGGCATAGACATATGTTGCCCAAGACGCATAACAATGTATTAAGGGCAGAAATGGTGAAACACGTGTGTTATCATTTGTGGCAACAAGAAGAGCATACCATGAGAAATCTAATTTAATTAGGTCCAACTTCCAACACCCATATTACTCAATACTCATATATGCCAAAATTGAGGTTGAATTGGGAAAACATGAAATTCTCAAATAACAACCAGAACCATATTCTAATATATGATTGAAGTTTTATATTTAAACTTCAAATTTGGATACTCAAATACCCGAAAATTATCTTGGATACTCCATTTCCGGCTACCTGCCCAAAACAGATGCGGAATAGTGCAATTTCTCATAAAACCCGAGATGTTCATATAACACAAAAAATCTCCGATACCCAATTCGTATCCACCCCTACCGCTTGAATTTCAAGCCACGACACAAGCACGACCCCAACCACAGGGTCCAAAACGAAAGCGAAAACACAAGGGAAGACGGAAACTTTCTCCATACAACTACAAATCCCGCATTCGGGGAGGGCGAAAACATCTCTCCTATGTACAGTACCAGCTTCAAAGGAACATGTAGAGAGAGACATTACACAATGAAAAAAAGAAAAGAAAAGAAAGAAAGATGTAAAGCTACAACCTTTGGGTTGGGATTCTTCTCAGAAACTCTAAATTCATCTTTAGATTACACAACTTCGTCTCTTACACATGTTTAGGACATTTGTCCCCAGCTTTCCTCTTTCTTCTCATCCCCGCTTGCTTGCAGAGGGGAGAATATATCAATATACCAAACCCCTTCCCTGAAAAAGCAGCAACAAAGAAAAAGGTTGAGAATTGGTTCATACTGAAATAACAATCTAGATAGCATTTCAAATAAAAAAATACATGTAAACTGTAAACCGAATACCTATGAGAATACTTCCCCTGTTGTAATTTACCAAGTAACTAATAGAGTTTTGGTAAATCTATCTGCAATAATCGATGCCATCCAAAAGGCTCCATTACCACCATGAACATAAAATTTTGTTTCTCAAAACCCACCATGATCATGATGTAATAGTGTCATGTTTTGCATGAAATTCTAGTGATTAGATGAAGCAATCCCTGATATTTCCACTATATACTGTTGCTCCCACCAATGGCGGACTCAGAACTCTGACCGAGTCAGACATACCCAAGACAATGGTCAGGGAAAACGAAAACTCTACAAGAAAGAAAGAGACTAGAGACCAGTTTACGTACCAGCAAAGGAACCAGCTCTTTAATCTCTGAAAATCACCAAGTCTACGAGGGTCAACAACGGCTTCAAGCAATCGGGAGTAAATTTACGTGCGAAAAGGTAAGAGCTTGAGTGGTTTGATCGTCTGAGCTGGTAAATCAGCTCCGGCGAGATTTCCTTCGGCTTGTACGTGTACGGATGGCCCTTCACAGTCCCCGTCCAGTTGACCCGGGTCAACGTATACCCTGTACACCCATCGGGGTCCTTCATGTTCAACATTGTCGGAAAATAATGCTCTTCAGGATAACACTCATCTGCTCGATAACACGGCAGCTTGAATTTCCGCCACAAGGTTCGATCTTTGATCGTTAACAGAGCATGTCTCCTTGTCATGACGAAGAATTGCGAACCTACTCGAAATTTCTCGAACGGGACCTCCGGCATCATCGAGTACCTTCCCCGAGCGATGTACCGTTTCCAAAGCCGAGGCTCTTCGGAGATGATCTCAATGAAACTCCGGTACCGGACTCGGATCCCTCTCAGAGTCGGATCCGGGTCGGATTTGTCGAAGGTGGAGGACTCGAAGAGGGAGTGGTAGACGTAGCGGAAGCTGTGGAGAGGAACGCAGTGCTGAGAGAGCACAGCGAAGTAGGAGTTCGCCGGGTCATCGATGAGGGCGGTGGCGAGTAGGCGGCGCGTGGCGGAGATGAGGGTCGGGGAGGCGCGTGCGGTTCGCTTGGCGTAGGAGATGAAGGCGTTCTCGAACACGGAGCCATTGTCGGGTCTGGTGATGTTCACCGATGGATCCGCGTGGACGTAGACGTTGTAGAGAGAGCGTGATTGGCCCGAAAAGAAGCGATCCCAGATTGGCGCGAAATGGAGGTCAGAGTTGGTGAGGAAGAGGAAAGCGATCTTGAGCTTAGGTTTAGGGTTCCCGGAGGAGAGGTGGGAGAGGGAGGAGGAGGCGGCAGCGGCGCGGTGGAAGAGGCTTTGATCGTCGATCTCATCGGAGATGGGGATGAAGGAGTCGCCGGGCGGAGGAGGGAAGACACGTGGCGCGACGAGGAAGAAGACGATCGGGAGGCAGAGGAGGAGACAGAAGAAGAGAACGAATTGGTTCGAGAACATTTGAGAAATCAGAAAACTCCAAAAATCAGAATCCCTAGAATCAATGAACCTCAGATGGAATCCCTTCTGCTCACGCTCGAGATCGGAAATCTACGGGAATGTACGTAGATTTCCCACCATTTAGGGTTCCTCGACTTCTGGATTTTACGGATTCGGAGGAATTAGAGATTCTCCGTAGATGGGTCGCCAGAATTTCCCATCTCACGACGGGAATTACAGGAAACGAACAATGCGAAGAAGACCTCCAACTTCTGCAGATTCAAGGGACAGATTGAAGAAACAGTGGCTTCTCAGCAAATGAGAAAATCGAAACTTCGTCGATTATTGGTCGATTTGAGCAGTGAAGCAGATGAAACTTACGGATTTGGGGACTCTCAGAATGCGATTCCGATTGCTCATCTGAAGAGTGGATCCAGAAGAAAGACGACGAAGAAATCGAATAACACAAGGAAATCTCTGCAAAAACACCTTTGGTCAAATGAAGGAATCAAGAACCCGAACTCGAAGTCGCGGGTTTTAGAGATCTCTGGGGAATTTCTCAAGATTGAAAGTGATAATTTTCAGATTTTGATCTGAAGAAGGAAGAAATCTTTAGGGTTTTCTTTTCCCCTAGTGACTGAATAAATCCAAGAGCCCTGATAATGGAGATGACAGCGGAAGGAGAAGATTAGATTGGGTTTTTGTTTGCATTCGACGCCAAATCACTCGGTTGTAAATTCCATGACAGAGAAAGGGTAATGTCGTCTTTTGAAACAGACGAGCGTTTTCCCCTTTGACGCCGTCAACTAACCCTCTTTGTAAAACGTCACCAGATTGACGGAAACGTTAACGACGGTGTTTCCGTGATAACGGCCAAGCGATTGTGCTTGACAAAAAAAAACACATTCCAGGTGTTTAGGGTGGGATGCTTAGTTTTGACTTTTGGGTGTTATTGTTGTTGAGAGTTGAGATTGTGATTAAAAAAAAAAATTATCTTTAATTCGAATTTATCATATGCTTGAAACATACATTTTTCAACTAATTTAGTCAAGAGATTGATGTCTCAATGACCAAATTGGACAATTAGCTGTCAAAATAAAACTGCTAACAAATCCCAACGCATTAATAGATTCATAGTGCATCCTTTTTAAAAACTCTCTAACCATTGCATTTTAAAAATAATAATTACCACATTTAAGTTTATTAAAAAAAACCTAAAGCTATATTTACAAAAAATGCAAACTATTATATTTACAAAAATAATATTTTATAACCTAACAGGATAGAATCTTAAACTATGAAATTACAGAAAAAAGTTTAAATTTTAAATGAAACATAAAAAATATGATTTTTGAGAAAATTATTATTTATTTATACAAATATAATTGATAAAAAACTATATATATATATATATATAATATTACCTTATTTTCAAAAAATACAATCAAATATTTTCAAATCGCAGTATTTTTATATTTTATATTTATAACATAAATTATTTTTATAAATATTTTATCGATAATAATATATTTGTTTAAGGAAAAATGTATATTTTATTCTTATAAATAAAAAGTTGTTGAGGGAAAAGATCTAGAGGATTCGACTCCACTAAACCTAACAGAAAAGGAAGAAGCAAACTCAGATACAATTAAATTTAGTCGTAGCAGCAGCCGCTCGTTTCCTCCTTTCGTACGGCTTCTCTCCTCCTCCGC